GTTGTTAAATTATTGAAATATTAACTTAAAATCTCAGGCGTACTTATTAAAATATTTTATTTTTATTTTTATTTTTACTTGAAGTAATAATGGGATTTTTAAGTTAACGTTTCAATAATTTAACAACACAAAATAAAAAGGCAAAATAAAAAAAACTATTATTTTCTTTTATATTTTCTTTTCTTTTATTATTTTCTTTTATTTTGAAATAAAGCCAAAATAAAAAAAATGTTTTATTATTATTTATATATCTTGCCTTTGTTTTTTTTTTTGCATATCATGTGACCATTATCTGACATCATAGAACAGTGGACATGCAAATGTGTTGTTAAATTATTGAAATATTAACTTAAAATCTCAGGCGTACTTATTAAAATATTTTATTTTTATTTTTATTTTTACTTGAAGTAATAATGGGATTTTTAAGTTAACGTTTCAATAATTTAACAACACAAAATAAAAAGGCAAAATAAAAAAAACTATTATTTTCTTTTATATTTTCTTTTCTTTTATTATTTTCTTTTATTTTGAAATAAAGCCAAAATAAAAAAAATGTTTTATTATTATTTATATATCTTGCCTTTGTTTTTTTTTTTGCATATCATGTGACCATTATCTGACATCATAGAACAGTGGACATGCAAATGTGTTGTTAAATTATTGAAATATTAACTTAAAATCTCAGGCGTACTTATTAAAATATTTTATTTTTATTTTTATTTTTACTTGAAGTAATAATGGGATTTTTAAGTTAACGTTTCAATAATTTAACAACACAAAATAAAAAGGCAAAATAAAAAAAACTATTATTTTCTTTTATATTTTCTTTTCTTTTATTATTTTCTTTTATTTTGAAATAAAGCCAAAATAAAAAAAATGTTTTATTATTATTTATATATCTTGCCTTTGTTTTTTTTTTTGCATATCATGTGACCATTATCTGACATCATAGAACAGTGGACATGCAAATGTGTTGTTAAATTATTGAAATATTAACTTAAAATCTCAGGCGTACTTATTAAAATATTTTATTTTTATTTTTATTTTTACTTGAAGTAATAATGGGATTTTTAAGTTAACGTTTCAATAATTTAACAACACAAAATAAAAAGGCAAAATAAAAAAAACTATTATTTTCTTTTATATTTTCTTTTCTTTTATTATTTTCTTTTATTTTGAAATAAAGCCAAAATAAAAAAAATGTTTTATTATTATTTATATATCTTGCCTTTGTTTTTTTTTTTGCATATCATGTGACCATTATCTGACATCATAGAACAGTGGACATGCAAATGTGTTGTTAAATTATTGAAATATTAACTTAAAATCTCAGGCGTACTTATTAAAATATTTTATTTTTATTTTTATTTTTACTTGAAGTAATAATGGGATTTTTAAGTTAACGTTTCAATAATTTAACAACACAAAATAAAAAGGCAAAATAAAAAAAACTATTATTTTCTTTTATATTTTCTTTTCTTTTATTATTTTCTTTTATTTTGAAATAAAGCCAAAATAAAAAAAATGTTTTATTATTATTTATATATCTTGCCTTTGTTTTTTTTTTTGCATATCATGTGACCATTATCTGACATCATAGAACAGTGGACATGCAAATGTGTTGTTAAATTATTGAAATATTAACTTAAAATCTCAGGCGTACTTATTAAAATATTTTATTTTTATTTTTATTTTTACTTGAAGTAATAATGGGATTTTTAAGTTAACGTTTCAATAATTTAACAACACAAAATAAAAAGGCAAAATAAAAAAAACTATTATTTTCTTTTATATTTTCTTTTCTTTTATTATTTTCTTTTATTTTGAAATAAAGCCAAAATAAAAAAAATGTTTTATTATTATTTATATATCTTGCCTTTGTTTTTTTTTTTGCATATCATGTGACCATTATCTGACATCATAGAACAGTGGACATGCAAATGTGTTGTTAAATTATTGAAATATTAACTTAAAATCTCAGGCGTACTTATTAAAATATTTTATTTTTATTTTTATTTTTACTTGAAGTAATAATGGGATTTTTAAGTTAACGTTTCAATAATTTAACAACACAAAATAAAAAGGCAAAATAAAAAAAACTATTATTTTCTTTTATATTTTCTTTTCTTTTATTATTTTCTTTTATTTTGAAATAAAGCCAAAATAAAAAAAATGTTTTATTATTATTTATATATCTTGCCTTTGTTTTTTTTTTTGCATATCATGTGACCATTATCTGACATCATAGAACAGTGGACATGCAAATGTGTTGTTAAATTATTGAAATATTAACTTAAAATCTCAGGCGTACTTATTAAAATATTTTATTTTTATTTTTATTTTTACTTGAAGTAATAATGGGATTTTTAAGTTAACGTTTCAATAATTTAACAACACAAAATAAAAAGGCAAAATAAAAAAAACTATTATTTTCTTTTATATTTTCTTTTCTTTTATTATTTTCTTTTATTTTGAAATAAAGCCAAAATAAAAAAAATGTTTTATTATTATTTATATATCTTGCCTTTGTTTTTTTTTTTGCATATCATGTGACCATTATCTGACATCATAGAACAGTGGACATGCAAATGTGTTGTTAAATTATTGAAATATTAACTTAAAATCTCAGGCGTACTTATTAAAATATTTTATTTTTATTTTTATTTTTACTTGAAGTAATAATGGGATTTTTAAGTTAACGTTTCAATAATTTAACAACACAAAATAAAAAGGCAAAATAAAAAAAACTATTATTTTCTTTTATATTTTCTTTTCTTTTATTATTTTCTTTTATTTTGAAATAAAGCCAAAATAAAAAAAATGTTTTATTATTATTTATATATCTTGCCTTTGTTTTTTTTTTTGCATATCATGTGACCATTATCTGACATCATAGAACAGTGGACATGCAAATGTGTTGTTAAATTATTGAAATATTAACTTAAAATCTCAGGCGTACTTATTAAAATATTTTATTTTTATTTTTATTTTTACTTGAAGTAATAATGGGATTTTTAAGTTAACGTTTCAATAATTTAACAACACAAAATAAAAAGGCAAAATAAAAAAAACTATTATTTTCTTTTATATTTTCTTTTCTTTTATTATTTTCTTTTATTTTGAAATAAAGCCAAAATAAAAAAAATGTTTTATTATTATTTATATATCTTGCCTTTGTTTTTTTTTTTGCATATCATGTGACCATTATCTGACATCATAGAACAGTGGACATGCAAATGTGTTGTTAAATTATTGAAATATTAACTTAAAATCTCAGGCGTACTTATTAAAATATTTTATTTTTATTTTTATTTTTACTTGAAGTAATAATGGGATTTTTAAGTTAACGTTTCAATAATTTAACAACACAAAATAAAAAGGCAAAATAAAAAAAACTATTATTTTCTTTTATATTTTCTTTTCTTTTATTATTTTCTTTTATTTTGAAATAAAGCCAAAATAAAAAAAATGTTTTATTATTATTTATATATCTTGCCTTTGTTTTTTTTTTTGCATATCATGTGACCATTATCTGACATCATAGAACAGTGGACATGCAAATGTGTTGTTAAATTATTGAAATATTAACTTAAAATCTCAGGCGTACTTATTAAAATATTTTATTTTTATTTTTATTTTTACTTGAAGTAATAATGGGATTTTTAAGTTAACGTTTCAATAATTTAACAACACAAAATAAAAAGGCAAAATAAAAAAAACTATTATTTTCTTTTATATTTTCTTTTCTTTTATTATTTTCTTTTATTTTGAAATAAAGCCAAAATAAAAAAAATGTTTTATTATTATTTATATATCTTGCCTTTGTTTTTTTTTTTGCATATCATGTGACCATTATCTGACATCATAGAACAGTGGACATGCAAATGTGTTGTTAAATTATTGAGATATTAACTTAAAATCTCAGGCGTACTTATTAAAATATTCTATTTTTATTTTTACTTGAAGTAAAAATTGGATTTTTAAGTTAACGTTTCAATAATTTAACAACACAAAATAAAAAGGCAAAATAAAAAAAACTATTATTTTCTTTTATATTTTCTTTTCTTTTATTATTTTCTTTTATTTTGAAATAAAGCCAAAATAAAAAAAATGTTTTATTATTATTTATATATCTTGCCTTTGTTTTTTTTTTTGCATATCATGTGACCATTATCTGACATCATAGAACAGTGGACATGCAAATGTGTTGTTAAATTATTGAAATATTAACTTAAAATCTCAGGCGTACTTATTAAAATATTTTATTTTTATTTTTATTTTTACTTGAAGTAATAATGGGATTTTTAAGTTAACGTTTCAATAATTTAACAACACAAAATAAAAAGGCAAAATAAAAAAAACTATTATTTTCTTTTATATTTTCTTTTCTTTTATTATTTTCTTTTATTTTGAAATAAAGCCAA